AGTCCCTGGTCTGACTCTCCCAGACACCCGGTAGATGTTAATCCTACCCATTTTTTTAAGGGTAAAATGGCTGTTTTCATTTTTGAACTGTCGTCCTTCTAAAACAGCACTTATGTATAAGTGTCGTCTCTAACTTCTGTATAAGCATGGTATGCATTTTTGTTATGATTTACTTATATTCTATACCAAGATTTTCATAACAAGCAAAGAAAGCCTATTTCTTACTGGAAACTAAGTTCCACGAGTGACTGGCGCCTCCTGAATCTGGGGGGGCACCCGCAGAAGCCGCTGATGGCAGTGGCCCTGTTGGGGGGGGGGGGGCGCACCAGCCCTGTTGACAACATCAGTGTTGGCCATCAGGGGGGTCACCAGCCCTGTCAGAGAGGGCCCATGCACCCCCTACCAGTCGCCTATGCTAAGTTCTTGCCAATTTTCAAAATTCAGCCATTTTTTTCCTGCACCTGTCAAACAGATGTAATTTAAGCTCTTTAATACAGGGATATGGAATTGTTTTACCTTTGTTTGGTTTTGTTGCAAGCTAAAACAAATCAAATTACTGCTAGGCAGTTATCAAGTAGGGCAGATTTCATCTTAGACTGTGAATGCTTCAGAAAATTATGAGCCTGTGTGAACTATAGTGAAAAGTTGTCATTACCTTTACTCTTGAAGGCATGTCTGGTGCCTACTCTAATAAAGCTGACATGTTACAAAAGCTCCCACAGGCTTAGGAACAGAGGCAGAGAAGAATATGTGACAATTGAAGGAAGTAAATTTACATGCATTGTGTAGAGTTCAGGTCATTATGAATATTTCACTTGTTGACATTTGATTATTTTGGGTTTGTAAATACAAATCACAGAATACCCTCAGCTCTCCCAGAACAGTTAAAAGTGTTCAGATTTTGAGCTTCATTGGGAACCACTAGGAAGGCATCTAATTTCATATTTTTGACATATCCTTTATGGTATGTCAAAAAGAGGCTGGGCTAACAGGGAGGTGGGAGAAGAGAAGAAGTTTATCACTCAAGCTTCTGGGGTTTTACTGCCAAAAGTTTTCATTCCTTGCCAATCTTGAAAGAAGTGGAGCAGCTCTGCTGAGTGCATAGACTTCAGAGGCCTATGATTTCTAAAGAGAAAAAGTCAAATAGAAAATAAGAACATCATTACTTAGCACATGAATTTTCCCAGGTATAGAAAATAATAGCCACGCCACTTTGAAATCTCATTTAATTCAAATTGCATATTTGTTTTGAATCTAGTTTGTAAGAATATTATGCTAGATCCGCTGTTTATTTTGTTTTCATTAGCTGATTCTACAAGAAAAATATCAGCTTTAACCCTATGCGTTACACTTTATTTATCAGTTAACCTCTGGGATGTTTTCAGATGATACCAAAACCTACCGAGCCAACCCGCCAGCATGAAAGCCACCCTGAGGAGACAGAAGAAGAATTACGAGAACACCAAGCACTTTTGGAGGAGCCATACAGTGACAGAGTTTCGAGTCAAAAGGAGGTGCAAGGGTTGGCCAATATGGTACAGGTGAAACAAGAACCCATTGAGAGTGATGAAGAGGAAACAGAGCCACAACAGGAGCTAGAGCCTGGCCAGAGGCAAGCTGAACAGGAGCTGCTGTTCCGCCAGGTATGAGATTACAGGAGTCAAAATATGTATGTGGTAAGCCATCTCTCAAAATATAGCAAGGCAGATTGATGGAGAGCAGTTAGCGAGTTTGTGTTGCTGCCATGTGTTCTATATATAGCGAAGGTAGAAAGAGGTGAAGTATTGGGGATAACTTTGGCAGTAGCGAAACAAAAATTAATACCAGTAAAATTGAAATGGCTAGAATGGCAGCATATGTCAGTGGGGCTAAACTGGGAGTTAGAGAGATGGACAGATTTACCTTCTTTTGATTGCAGAAGGACTGGTGCTGACCTTTTCCCTCTTTTATACTTGCCAGACCATCCCCTGCAGTATATAGGGTTCAGCAGGGTGAGAAAGTCCTGCAGCACAGACTTGGCATGCTAGATCCAGCAACCAGGTGGTCAGATTTGCTGGGTCCCACTCTAAATGGGACAGTAGCAGTGGGCCAAGGAATGAATCTTATGATATAGTCTATTTTTGGGACTAAGCAAGTCAATATTCCTGTGAGAGCAGTTCTATGAGTGTAGCATCATTTTGCTGCACTCAGTGTAACTTGGCAATATATTAAACAACATGCTTTAATCCATAGAAAATTTTTACTGTTTAAAAGAAGGGAATTATTTGTGAGGCATAGAGAATTTATAACTTTGGATACATCTACATGTGACAGTACATCACTGTAGTGACACGCTACAGCAGTGTAGCATCCATGGATGTATACACATAACCAGCCGCTATTTCACCATAGCGGCACACTCCCACATTATAGTGCACCACTATAGAGAAGTAGCTTCTAAAAATAACCATGTGCTACATGTATGGCACAGTACAGGGCGCTCAGTAACAATGCCACCATCAAGCAACGTGTAGATGCACCCTTTTAATAGTAAACATATTTGACGTTCCTGTTGTGCAACAACACAGAAAATTTTGACTGTTATCTCAAATGTGTGTTAATTGAATATTACCCAATTGGCAGAGTCATAAATGGTAAATAATTCTAGTCATTGTCATTCATAGATCTGGTGGGAAGATGGACAAGTCAGGGTTCAATTACATAGCTGTAAACTGAGCTACATTAGAAGAAGACATAAGGACAGCAGTAGATTTTGTGTATGGTCCCTGCTAGTAACAGCCCTTAAACGCAATGACTATAGAATTACATTCTCTTGTATGAGGGTAAGAAAGAAAACACATCAAAGCAAGGCAGGTAAATTAGCAGTTGATCTAATGTCCACTGAAAACAATACTGTTAATTTTTTTCATTGACTTGCCTGGGCTTTGAATAGAACCCCCTAAAGCGCCCAGGTAGTGTATTCCAAATTGGTGAATCCACACTGCTGAGGGAAATAGTCTTCTTACCTGTAATTGCAGCATGATGCAACCTTTGGAAATGCTTCACTGTCCCTTGGGGTTCATGTGGAGCACTCTGCACCAAGAGAAGTTTGCTGGGCATTGTATTTAGTTCATTTGCCAAAGTTTCATAACACAAGAAAGGTTGATTTGCCTTGAGGAAAAGAGAGTGTTAGGTCAAAGCTGTATCCTTCAGAGGTTCTTTAGTGATTTATACACAGAACAGGGTCTGTGCCATTCCATTCCATTGACTGAAAGGTGGACCTAGGTTTAGGCAAGAAAAAAAAGATTAGTTCTAATTCTCATGCCCCTGCCAACTACAGATGCTTCAGAACCACCTTCTTTACCCATAAACCGCCAATACACAACCTGTCCACTAGATCAGGGAGCAGTTATGCTTCAGGAGTGGCAGGCCAAAATTATCAAGCTCAATCTTAAGCAGACTAGCAGTCATGCCGGACCAATCTTATTGCCTTCTATAATGAGATGACTAGCTCTGTGGATGTGGGAAGAGCGGTGGATGTGATGTACCTTGACATTAGCAAGGCTTATGATGCTGTCTCCCATAGCATTCTAACAAGCAAGCTAAGGAAGTACAGGTTGTATGAATGAACTGTAAAGTGGATAGAAAACTGACAGACTCGTTGGGCTCAAAGGATAGTAATCAACGGCTCAATATTTAGTTGGCAGCTTGTATCACATAGAGTGCCCCAAGGGTCTGTCCTTGGGCCCGTCTTGTTCAGCATCTTCATCAATGATCTGGAAGATGGGATAGAGTGCACCCACAGCAAGTTTGTAGATGACACCAAGCTTGGGGGAATAGTAGATATGCTGGAGGGTAGGGCTGGGGTTCAGAGAAACCTCAACAAATTGGAGGATTGGACCAAAAAAAATCTCCTGAGGTTCAGTAAGGACCAGTGTAAAGTCCTGTACTTAGAACAGAACAGTCCCATGCAGTATACAGGCTGGGGGCTGACTGGCTAAGCAACAGCTCTGCAGAAAAGGACCTGGGATTTACAGTGGATAATAAGCTGAATATGAGCCAACAGTGTGTCCTTGTTGCGAAGAAGGCTAATGGCATACTGGGCTCCATTACTAGAAGCGTTGCCAGCAGATGGAGGAAAATGATTCTTCCCCTCTATTCAGCACTGGTCAGGCCACGTGTGGAGTACAGTGTCTAGTTTTGGACCCCCACTACATAGTTTCATAGTTAGTAGGGTCGGAAGGGACCTGAGCAGATCATCAAGTCCGACCCCCTGCCATGGCAGGAAAGAGTACTGGAGTCAAACGACCCCAGCAAGGTGATTGTCTAGCCTTATCTTAAAGACCCCCAGGGTAGGAGCCAGCATCACTTCACTTGGAAGTTGGTTCCAGATCGTAGCTGCTCTGACAGTGAAGTAGCGCCTCCTGATGGTGGCAAAACATAAAGGATGGTGACATAAAGGATGGTCCAGCAGAGGGCAGCAACAATGGTTTTGGGGGCTGGGACATATGACTGATGAGGAGAGACTGAGGGAACTGGGTTTATTTAGTCTGGGGAAGAGGAGACTAAGCGGGGATTTAATAGCAGCCTTCAACTACCTTGAAGGGTACCTACAAAGAGGATGGAGCTAGACTGGTCTCAGTGGTGGCAGATGACAGAACAAGAAGCAATGCTCTCAAGTTGCAGCAAGGGAAGTTTAGGTTAGATATGAGGATAAACTTTCTCACTAGGAGGGTAATAAAGCACTGGAACAGGTTACCCAGAGAGGCTGTAGAGTCTCCATCTTTGGCGATTTTTAAGACCCAGCTGGACAAAGTCTTGGGTAGGATGATCTAGTTGGGGGATGATCCTGCTTTGAGCAGGAAGGTGACCTCCTGAGGTCCTTTCCAACCTTAATTTCTTCATGAATCTATAATTCCAGTCCAGCTGCTGCTGCCACTTCTTCCCCAAAACCTCCAGCTGCTGAAACACCACAGAAGCACCAGTAGAATTGAGACACAGGTTGCCAACCTCTGTACTAGATGACAGTGTGCCAACACAGAAAACAGTCCTTTAAAAATAAACTGGCATTCTTGCTTTATTGACATAGCTGCCTGGGCCTAGATCAGGGGTAGATAATAATTTTGGCTGAAGAGCCATTTAAGGAGTTTTGGTGAGCTGTTGAGTCCTGGAAGGATAGCCCCTTGACAGGTGCTCTGCCCCCTGGTCACTATCTTGGGACCCTCACCCCTGTACTTTGCCACCAGATGTCCCTCCCTTTGCCCCCCAGAATTAGTCCTGGGGGGGGTTGCGTTGCCATCTTAGAACCAAAAAACCCAACAAAACATATACTAAAAATCAAACATCTATCATAGCATATTTTATTTTTTTTTTTTAATTTGGCTTGATTTGCATGGTTGTGCAGTGTATATATAGAGCCGATTGCATAATAGCTCAAAATAAAATCTTGCTCGTCTATATTGGGTGTAGAGGGTGTGGTTTGGGGGGGGTCGG